GTGAGACCATTAAAAATTTTCTAGGGCCTTTTGGTTTATATGCTGAATCTTATGACATTGTCTCTAATTGACAAGCATATCAAAATTTATAAACAAATATCAATTTGTACCAGTCTTTCTGCTTAAATAAAGATGTTTCTTCAAGCTTGAGAAGTATGAAATCTTTGAAATTATTTTAATACATCTTATACCACAAATGATGAAGAAGGAATTTCTCTTTAACTTGTTAGGATTTTTTCCCCTTTTATCTTAATTTTGGTAAACAGAGAGTTAACCAAATCTTCAATATCTTGTATAAGTGTGTAACAAACAGAATTTTTTTTCTGTAGCCGAACTTTATTTTTCAAGCCCCCACTCAGCTGCAGTGACAATAATCTTATCAACGGAAGCCCTCTCTCCTCCCCAGGGCTGTGTTAATCTGGTCCTAGCATCACTGGTCCCCACAGGGATTCTGAGATGTTCTTTGTCCATTCTGGTGTTTGGTTTTCAGTCTCATGGTTTCTCATGCTGACAGGCCTGGCTTCTCCAATCATGGTGACTGCCTGGCTTGAGTTTTGGGGAATGTCTTTGACTTCCTTGCCTTCTGATGTGGCAGAAATCTCTGTTAGGTGGCCCTTCAGCCTAGACATATTTGGAACATTACCTCAGAACTTGTTAGAAATGTAAATTCTAGTATTTCCCCTCCCAATGAATAACCTCCTAAGTCAACAACTGATGAAAACAGTCAGCAGACCGAAAAGTCTGAGGCCCCACTCTCCAAGGCTCTGCCCAGGATCTAGTGGAAGCAAGCATTACCATACAGTCTCTCCTTCCCTTGAAGGGGCAGTGTTAAAATCTTATTGTATTTCTTCCTCTATCCTTAAAAAAAATGAATAGACCTTATATCTTAGAGCAGATTTAGGTTTATAGAAAAATCGAGCAGATAGTACAGAGAGTTCCCATATATCCTCTCTTCTTATCATTCAGTTTCCCCTATTATTATCTTGTCTCAGTGTGGTATACTTGTTAGAATATTGATACACTGTTGTTAACTAAAGTCCATAATTCATATTAGGGCTTACTTTTTCTGTTTTCTGTTTTCTGTTGTACAGTGTTATATAGAACACAAAACTGAATTAGTCAAAATTCAGAGACCACAAGGTTTTCCCAGGGAAAATGAAATAGACACAGGATTAAGTCCTTAATCACCATTAAATGCTTTGAGAAACAAAATCCAGTTTAGGAATAAGGTAGTTTACAGATTTAGAATAGTTTACTCCCAAAAGAGACAATAGGATAGCACGCTGCATTTATAAAGCTTAAATTTACTAATTAAAAGTAGGCTGGGGGGCCCCTGGGTGGCTCAGTCGTTAAGCATCTGCCTTGGGCTCAGGTCATGATCCCAGGGTCCTGCTCCGTGGGAAGCCTGTTTCTCCCTTTCCCACTCCCCCTGCTTGTGTTTCCTCTCTCGCTGTGTGTCTCTCTGTCAAATAAATAAATAAAACCTTAAAAAAAAAAAGTAGGCTGGAAGCCAATAACATTCATTTAACTGATTAGCTTAGACTAAAAAAAAAATAATAATCTTGGATTCTCCAACTTGATTGAAGACTAAATTCTGTTAACATACACAGAAATCAGATCCTTTTAAAAACAAGCATTTTAATGTTAATTCTGAAACATCATTTGCAAGAATTTTCATCTTAAACAAAGTGACTTTACAATGCTAGTTCAAATTTGTTACATTTGTTGAATTAGCAGCAAACTACCTACCACCTCTCAGCATGTTCTCCATAAAACTCAGCTTTGCCTCCCTTTCCAGAAGGATACAAACATAACAATCTGTGCCATGAAGAGCATCTCTAATTGCTTGTAAGGATGATAAGTGATCAATATGTTGTAATCAAGTGGAATCTGATTTTTCAGGTCCTTGTTTAATGGTTTTGTTTTTGGGGAAGAAGAAAAAAGGTATTGGGGGGCCCTCTGCTGGTAAACCTACATAAGAAATGAAAACAGGTTAAAATTTTGGAAGCATAAAATGACATTTTGGGGGGCCCTCCACCCTCCATCCCCACCTTCTCCACACCCAGTCCTCTTAAAGCATGATAGGATCAGGACTCAGAAACATAAGGACCTACACTTCAGGTCTGTAGGCTGGAAAACAGGACTGGGTCGAGAGCATAGCTATTAAATGCAGTGAGGGTGATAGATTTTTTTTTCAGCTTTATCAAGGTATAATTGACAAATAAAATTGTAATATATTTAAAGTGTACAACATGATTATTTAATATACATATACATTGTGAAAGGGTGCCTACCATCGAGTTAATGAGTACATCCATCACCTCACATACTTAACTCTTTTTTTTTTTTTTTTTTGGTGAGAACATATAAGTTCTACTCTTAGCAAATTTGAATTATGCAATACAGTATAATCAATTATAGTCACCATGTTATACCTAATGTATAAGTCTCAGACCCTATTAATCCTATAACTGAACCGAGCCCCTGGCAACCACCATATTATTGTTTGTTTCCATGAGTTCTTTATTTTTTTAAGATTTGACATGTAAGTGATACCATGCAGTTTATATCTTTCATTGCCTGTCTTATTTCACCTAACATAATGCTCTCCAGTTTCATCCATTTGTTACAAATGGCAGGATTTCATTCTTTTTTGAGGTTGAATATTATCCATTGTATGTATATACCACATCTTCTTTATTCATCTCTCAATGGACACTTAGGTTGTTTGCATACCTTGGCTATTGTGAATAATGTTGCAATAAACATGGTAATACAGATCTCTTCAAGATAATAATTTCATTTCCTTTGCATTTGAACCCAGAAGTGGGATTGCCAGACTATATGGTATTTCTATTTTTAATTTCTTGAGGAACTTCCATACTGTTTTCCATTTAGGCTGTATAGTTTACATTCTCATCAACAATGTACAAGGATTCTCTTTTGTCCATATTCTCAGGAGCATTTGTTACCTTTTGTATTCTTGAGAGGAAATGTCCTAATAGGATGGAGGTGATACCTCATTGCGGTTTTGATTTACATTTCCCTGATTACTAATGATACTGAGCGTCTTTGTACTGTTGATGATTTGTATGTCTTCTTTGGAGAAATGTCTATTCAGGTCGTTTGCCCATAAAAAAATTTGAATTGTTTGATTATTTACTACTGGGTTATATGAGTTTCTTATATATTTTGGATATTAACCTCTTATCAGATATGTGGTTTGCAAATATTTTCTCCCATTTTATAGATTTTTTCTTTTGTTGATTGTTTCTTTTGCTGTGCAGAACTTTTTAATTTGATGTAGTTCCACTTATTTATATTTGCCTTTGCTTTTGTTATCAAACCCAAAAACTCATTGCCAAGACCAGCATCAAGGAGCTTAGCCCTTAAGATTTCTTCTAGGAGTTTTACAGTTTCAGGTCTTATGTTCAAGTTTTTGATCCCATTTTGAGTTAATTTTTGTGTACTGTGTAAGTTAGTGGTCCTTTCCTCATTGTATATTTATGGCCCCTTTCTTATAAATTATTTGACCATATGCAGATAAGCTTATTTCTGGGGTCTCTATTCTGTTCTATGGATCTTTGTGCCTGCTTTTATGCCAGTACCATACTGTTTTGATTAAGATAGCTTTGTAATATAGTTTGGATTAGGAAGTGTGATGCCTCCAGCTTTTTTTTTTTTCCTTCCTCAAGATTGCTTTGGTTATTTGAAGTCTTTGTGGCTCCACATGAATTTTAGGATTGTTATTTCTATTTCTGTGAAAAATGCCATTGGAATTTTGGTAGGGATTCTTTTGAATCTGTATGGACACTTTAGCAATATTAATTCTTCTGATTCATGAACATGAAGTATCTTTCCATTTATTTGTGTCTTCTTCAGTTTCTTTCATTAATGTCTTCTAGTGTTCAGTGCATAGTTCTTTCACCTTCTTGGTTAAATTTATTCCTAAGTAGTTTATTCTTTTAGATGCTACTGAAAATGGGATTGTTTTCTTAATTTCTCTTTCTGATAGTTTATTGTTAGTGCATAGAAACATAACTGATTTTAGTATGTTGATTTTTCTATCTTGCAGCTTTATTGAAGTGGTTTATTAGTTCTAACAGTTGTTTTGATGGAGTCTTTAAGGTTTTCTATATATGCATAAGATTGTGTCATTTGCAAACAGATACAATTTTACTTCTGCTTTTCTCATTTATATGCTTTTGAATTATTTTTCTTACCTGTTTGTTCTTTTTTTTTTTATCATTTCAAATTCTTTATTATACATCATGGTTGCACAATTTGAGGCTGGTTAAATATAATTGTTTTCAAAATTTCTTCGAATATTTTCTAGATTACTACATGCAAGTGACCATGAAAATATCTGGCATCTTTAAATTTTGAAACTCTGAACAGGCACTTACATGAAGGAAAACATTACCATTCACAGATAGCCACATTTAAAATAGATGCTCCAGCACATGGTACATGGAACCTTTTGCCAGTAAAGAAGTTGGTTACTGACCATTTTATCAAAGTGCCATAGTAGTAAACAGGTTTAGAGAAATGTAATTTGGGTTACTTAGCTTACTCATAAAGTAAGGTTAACTGACAAGACTTGTGCTGAAGTGTATAAAAAAATATTGGTACAAAAACCAGTGAACCCTAAGTGAAAGTAGTTTCACACAGCAGGCTTCATTTTAGTTCCTACACTCCACATTTAGTGTATCTGAGATCAGACCCCATGCATATGAACAGATGACTAAAACCTTCTTTTTACAACTTTGAACAAATGGCTTGAATTTAGTGTTAACAAAATTTAAAGAGTGGGTGAAATTACATTTGAGTTTGAACTACCCAAAGTTCCAGTTTAACAAACATGAAATTGTCCAGATCTAGATAACTACATGCTTCACAGGTCCTCCTGAGTTCCCCATCCTCAAACTTTCCCCTGGAAAGGGAAGAGAGTATTTGTGAAGGCAACAAAATTATAATTTCATGTATGTGGTAAAAAGATGTCTTAAATTAAAAAAAAAAATTCAAAGTAGTTACAGAAAAATGATATAGTTTTAAAAAATTCGAAAATGCCAACAGAGTCAACTCTACATTGCAGAAAACATACAGTGGTACCTGCTGGATAGTAATAGCAAAATAGTTACTTAATATGGCAAAAAAGAAAGAAAGAAAAGAATGAATGAAAGAAAGAGAAAAGGAAGAGAAGGAGGGAGGGAGGAAGGCAAGGAGGAAGGAAGGAAGGAAGCAGGCCACGGTGACATGCCACATAATCTCGGGGAAAAATTTTAACATTCACAAAACAGAAGACTTCAAAGAGGATACAATTCAGGAAGCCATGGAATGGTGGAATCAAAAGCACCTACAGTGAAACACTCCATAGGTATTTCTCAAACACACATGTAGAAACAAATGTATTCCTCAAAAATATTGAGATGCCATGTTTTAAATCTTTGCAGGATTTAAGGCCCATTCAATTTTTCTTTCTTTATTTGAACACGAAATACTTAATTTTTTGCATGTAGAGAATAAGAGGTAATTATTAGCATGAAAAAGGAGAAAAGTATTTATAATCAACATTACTAAGAAAAGCAAAATTACAAATACCAGCCTACTCACATGAAAATCTTTAATGTTTATGTTTATGCATATCTGAGTGCTTATTATCAGGTCAAAGTGTGCAGTAAAAAAAAAAAATACAAGAAAGAAAAAACGGCAGCTTAAGAAAGTTCCAGTGTTTCAAAGAAAGCGCTTTTTTTAATGTATATACATGAAGAACATTTAGTTGTATCATAAAATAAATGCAGCACTGTAAGATAAAGGAAGACTATTATAAATGGAGTTTTGGCCTTTTCCCCCACTACAAGCTGCAACCATCTTTAACCTGCTGAACTTAATCTCAATGGATATAGGAGTTTTTTGTTTTTCTTTTTTTCTCCTATTCAGTTCACATTTCAGGCTGTTCAGCAGATGCCTGTGATTCTGGTGATTCAAATCTCTGGTGAAAGTTTATTCTCTGTTTCCTCAATTTTTCAGGAGCTTTTCTCCATAAAATGATCTCCTGCTGCTTGAAGTACCTTCTGTCTTCCTCATCAACAAGGACTAGATTCAAAAAGTACCTTACTGAAAATGTTTTGTTCACATCTCTCATTGTTGGAGTTGGGTCATATCCCGCTAAAAACAGTCTTATTGGAATTGATTCACCTTTTACTGGTGCACCATCCATTATTTCATATTTAGCAATTGTTTCTGTTTCTGTGGTGGTACTGGGTCCAATTCCTGTGATCTCTTTTTTGATCAGTTGCAACTTCATATGTTGGATTTTTATTCTTACTAATAAAAAGTAAATTTTTCCAACAATCACATCCTTTAGATGATACTTTGATTTATTATATTCAAATTCTATGTGTAGACAATCTTCAATGCCCACTTCCATCTTAATGGAGTTGTTAACATCAGGATATGTGGCAAGCTGGTGAACAATAAGATCATATTCTTTTATCAAATCTGTCAGTCTTCTTACTATTGTCACTTTAAGAAAATACCTCAAGCGGACATTGGCACTGATGTAAGATTAATACGGCTTTTCAACTTGCATAAATTCAAAATCATAACTTCTGCTCTGAGTTAATTCTCCAGGCAAGGCTAGTTCTTTCACTAGGTTTACAAATTCATGAGTATTACTCTTGTCATTGAAAAGTTCAATTTGACCTACAAATTCAATTCTAATTCCTTGGTGCTCTAGCCTCTTTCCAGGTTGCTTAAAGGCTAGGTTTACCTTTCCTGAAACAGATTCTCCGTCATAAAAAAGATAGTGTTTTTCTACTTTGCCATCTTCAGTTTTCATTTCAGCCATTTGCCTGGTTTCTCCATCATTAAGGACAACATCGATCTCACAGATGGGTCCAAAAAAGCCTCCAAGAAAACTCATTGTCAGTGCTGCCGCCGCGTCCCCACCACCTCACTCCGCTTCACTCAGAACTCCCAGTCCAGATTCCCCTTACCTGTTTGTTCTTGCTTGGACTTCTAGTTCTATGTTGAATAAAAGGGGTATGAGTGGGCACGCTTATCTTGTTCCTAATCTTAGGAAAAAAGCTTTCAGCTTTTTACCATTGAGTATGATAGCTGTGGTCTTATTATATATGACCTTTATTATGTTGAAGTATATTACATCTATACATAATCTGTTGAGTGATTTTATCATGAAAATATGTTGAATTTTGTCAAATGCATTTTCTGAATCTATTAAGATCATCATATTTTTTTATTCATTTTGATTCATTTATGTTGAACCATCCTTGTATCCAAGGAATAAATTCTACTTGATCATAATGTGTGAACCTTTTGAGGTGCTATTTTATTTGATTTGCTAATATTTTGTTTTTAAAAAAGATTTTATTTATTTATTTGTCAGAAGAGAGAGAGCACACGCAGAGGGAGAGGCAGGCAGAGGGAGAAGCAGACTCTTTGCTGAGCAAGGAGCAGGAAGTGGGACTCCATCCCAGGACCCTGAGATCATGACCTGAGCAGAAGGCAGATGCTTAAATGACTGAGCCACACAGGCATCCCTGATTTCGTAATATTTTGGTGAGTATTTTTGCATCTATGTACATCTGAGATATTAGCCTGTAATTTCTTTTCTTGTAGTGAACTTGTCTCACTTGGTATCAGTGTAGTGCTCATATGGAAAAATAATTAGGAAATGTTCCCTCTTCTATTTTTGGAAGAGTTTCAGAAGGAATGACATTAATTTTTCTTTAAATATTTGCTAGAATTCACCATCTATCTGGTCCTGGACTTTTTTTGGGGGGGGGGGCTGGAGCGGAGGGAAAGTTTCTTTTTTTAAAAAATTTTTTTATTGTTATGTTAATCACCATACATTACATCATTAGTTTTAGATGTAGTGTTCCATGATTCATTGTTTGTGCATAACACCCAGTGCTCCATGCACAATGTGCCCTCTTTAATACCCATCACCAGGCTAAACCATCCTCCCACCCCCCTCCCCTCTAGAACCCTCAGTTTGTTTTTCAGAGTCCATTGTCTCTCATGGATCGTCTACCCCTCCGATTCCCCCCCTTCATTCTTCCCCTCCTGCTATCTTCTTCTTCTTCTTCTTCTTTTTTTTTCTTAACATATATTGCATTATTTGTTTCAGAGGTACAGATCTGAGATTCAACAGTCTTGCACAATTCACAGCGCTTACCAAAGCACATACCCTCCCCAGTGTCTATCATACAGTCACCCCATCCCATCCCTCCCACCCCATCCCCCACACCGGCAACCCTCAGTTTGTTTCCTGAGATTAAGAATTCCTCATATCAGTGAGGTCATATGATACATGTCTTTCTCTGCTTGACTTATTTCGCTCAGCATAATACCCTCCAGTTCCATCCACGTCCTTGCAAATGGCAAGATCTCATTCCTTTTGATGGCTGCATAATATTCCATTGTATATATATACCACTTCTTCTTTATCCATTCATCTGTCGATGGACATCTTGGCTCTTTCCACAGTTTGGCTATTGTGGACATTGCTGCTATAAACATCAGGGTGCACGTACCCCTTTGGATCACTACATTTGTATCTTTGGGGTAAATACCCAGTAGTGCAATTGCTGGATCGTAAGGTAGCTCTATTTTCAACTTTTTGAGGAACCTCCATAGTGTTTTCCAGAGTGGCTGCACAAGCTTGCATTCCCACCAACACTGTAGGAGGGTTCCCCTTTCTCTGCAACCCCACCAACATCTGTCATTGCCTGACTTGTTAATTTTAGCCATTCTGACTGGTGTGAAGTGGTATCTCATTGAGGTTTTGATTTGGATTTCCCTGATGCCAAGTGATGTTGAACACTTTTTCATGTGTCTGTTGGCCATTTGGATGTCTTCTTTGGAAACATGTCTGTTCATGTCTTCTGCCCATTTCTTGATTGGATTCTTTGTTCTTTGGGTGTTGAGTTTGAGAAGTTCTTTATAGATTTTGGATACTAGCCCTTTATCTGATATGTCATTTGCAAATATCTTCTCCCATTCTGTCGGTTGTCTTTTGGTTTTGTTGACTGTTTCTTTTGCTGTGCAAAAGCTTTTTATCTTGATGAAGTCCCAATAGTTCATTTTTGCCCTTGCTTCCCTTGCCTTTGCCGATGTTTCTAGGAAGAAGTTGCTGCGGCTGAGGTCGAAGAGGTTGTTGCCTGTGTTCTCCTTTAGGATTTGGATGGACTCCTGTCTCACATTGAGGTCTTTCAACCATTTGGAGTCTATTTTTGTGTGTGGTGTAAGGAAATGGTCCAGTTTCATTCTTCTGCATGTGGCTGTCCAATTTTCCCAACACCATTTGTTGAAGACACTGTCGTTTTTCCATTGGACATTCTTTCCCGCTTTGTCAAAGATTAGTTGACCATAGAGTTGAGGGTCCATGTCTGGGCTCTCTATTCTGTTCCATTGATCTATGTGTCTGTTTTTGTGCCAGTACCATACTGTCTTGATGATGACAGCTTCGTAATAGAGCTGGAAGTCCGGAATTGTGATGCCGCCAGCTTTGCTTTTCTTTTTCAGCATTCCTCTGGCTATTCGGGGTCTTTTCTGGTTCCATACAAATTTTAGGATTATTTGTTCCATTTCTTTGAAAAAAGTGGATGGTATTTTGATGGGGATTGCATTGAATGTGTAGATTGCTCTAGGTAGCATTGACATCTTCACAATATTTGTTCTTCCAATCCATGAGCATAGAACGTTTTCCAATTTCTTTGTGTCTTCCTCAATTTCTTTCATGAGTATTTTATAGTTTTCTGAGTACAGATCCTTTGTCTCTTTGGTTAGATTTATTCCTAGGTATCTTATGGTTTTGGGTGCAGTTGTAAATGGGATCAACTCCTTAATTTCTCTTTCTTCTGTCTTGTTGTTGGTTTATAGGATTGCCACTGATTTCTGTGCATTGATTTTATATCCTGCCACTTTACTGAACTCCTGTATGAGTTCTAGCAGTTTTGGGGTGGAGTCTTTTGGGTTTTCCACATAAAGTATCATATCCTCTGCAAGGAGTGAGAGTTTGACTTCTTCTTTGCCAATTTGGATGCCTTTGATTTCTTTTTGTTATCTGATTGCTCTGGCTAGGACTTCTAATACTATGTTGAATAGCAGTGGTGATAATGGACATCCCTGCCACATTCTTGCCTTAGGGCGAAAGCTGTCAGTTTTTCCCCATTGAGAATGATATTCACTGTGGGTTTTTCATAGATGGCTTTTATGATATTGAGGTATGTACCCTCTATCCCTATACTCTGAAGAGTTTTGATCAAGAAAGGATGCTGTACTTTGTCAAATGCTTTTTCTGCATCTATTGAGAGGATCATATGATTCTTGTTCTTTCTTTTGTTAATGTATTGTATCACATTGATTGATTTGTGGATGTTGAACCAACCTTGCAGCCTAGGGATAAATCCCAGTTGGTTGTGGTGAATAATCCTTTTAATGTACTGTTGGATCCTATTGGCTAGTATTTTGGTGAGAAATCTTGCATCCATGTTCATCAAAGTTATTCGTCTGTAATTCTCCTTTTTGATGGGGTCTTTGTCTGCTTTGGGGATCAAGGTGATGGTGGCCTCATAAAACGAGTTTGGAAGTTTTCTTTCCCTTTCCAACATTTTGGAACAGTTTCAGAAGAATAGGTATTAATTCTTCTTTAAATGTTTGGTAGAATTCCCCTGGGAAGCCATCTGGCCCTGGGCTTTCGTTTGTTGGGAGATTTTTGAAGACTGCTTCAATTTCCTTAGTGGTTATAGGTCTGTTCAGGTTTTCTATTTCTTCCTGTTCAGTTTTGGTCTTGATACATCTCTAGGAACGCATCCATGTCTTCCAGGTTATCTAATTTGCTGGCATAGAGTTGCTCATAATATGTTCTTATAATTGTTTGTATTTCTTTGGTGTTGGTTGTGATCTGCCCTCTTTCATTCATGGTTTTATTGATTTGGGTCATTTCTCTTTTCTTTTTGATAAGTCTGGCCAGGGGTTTATCAATCTTGTTAATTCTTTCAAAGAACCAGCTCCTAGTTTCATTGATCTGTTCTACTGTTCTTTTGATTTCTATTTCATTGATTTCTGCTCTGCTCTTTATTATTTCTCTTCTCCTTCTGGGTTTAGGCCTTATTTGCTGTTCTTTCTCCAGCTCCTTTAGGTGTAGGGTTAGGTTGTGTTCTTGAGACCTTTCTTGTTTCTTGAGAAAGGCTTTTATTGCTAAATATTTTCCTCTCAGGACTGCCTTTGCTGCATCCCAAAGATTTTGAACAGTTGTGTTTTCATTTTCATTGGTTTCCACGAATTTTTTTAATTCTTCTTTAATTTCTTGGTTGACCCATTCATTCTTTAGTAGGTTGCTCTTTATCTTCCATGTATTTGAGTTCTTTCCAACTTTCCTCTTGTGATTGAGTCCTAGTTTCAAAGCATTGTGTTTTGAAAATAGGCAGGGAATGATCCCAATATTTTGGTACTGGTTGAGACCTGATTTATGACCTAGGATGTGATCCATCTGGAGAATGTTCCATGGGCACTAGAGAAGAATGTGTATTCCGTTGCTTTGGGATGGAATGTTCTGAATATGTCTGTGAAGTCCATTTGGTCCAGTGTGTCATTTAAAGTCTTTATTTCCTTGTTGATCTTTTGCTTAGATGATCTGTCCATTTCAGTGAGGGGGGTGTTAAAGTCCCCAACTATTATTGTATTGTCAATGTGTTTCTTTTTTTTGTCATTAATTGCCTTATATAATTGGCTGCTCCCATGTTAGGGGTATAGATATTTACAATTGTTAGATCTTATTGTTGGATAGACCCTTTAAGTAGAATATAGTGTTCTTCCTCATCTCTTATTACAGTCTTTGGTTTAAAATCTAATTTGTCTGCTATAAGGATTGCCACCCCAGCTTTCTTTTGGTGTCCATTAGCATGGTAAATGGTTTTCCACCCCCTCACTTTCAATCTGGGGGTGTCTTTGGGT